TGATATGGCCCAAAATAAACATGAGTTAGACGCTCCCGGTCTATTCTCATTTAGGCCAACTCTTTTAAGCTTTGTTCGCCGTCAGTTGTGACATTGTTAAATGAACGCTAATGAGAAGCTTGCAGGAACAAACCTCTCCCCGCCCTATACGCGCTGACGCTGTGAGCCCATTCAAAACACAAAGAAACATTAAAAAAACAAAAACAACCTTCATCATCTTAACGCTTGCCACAGTGTCATTGTTACTTCTGTGTGGATTGTTAAACCGCCTTTGTGCTTTATTGATGACGGCAGATTTCATTGATGAATTATGCACCAGCCGCTTTAAGGCTCTGCTCGTGGGAAAGACTTTGTCTCACGTGGGATCTTGGGAGGAGAATCCAAACTCCTGGAAACGTTTTAACAACAGAAAGAAAGGCAGAGAATAGCACAGACACGGTTAATGCTTTTTTCATCTTTAATCTCTGAGGACCTTATCGTCCCGCGTAAACAACCACATGCTTTCATTGCTCTAGTCACCAACATGTCACGAGACCGGTTTAGCATCTTTTTTTTTAAAAACAGAGGCTGATATTTGGTTTATATTTGTTTTTTGTTGCGCTTAAACTGATTGTTTAAAGATTAAAAAAGAAAAAAAAAGACCCTGAAACTTTAAAAAGAGCAGTGCAGTTTTTAAAAGTAGGTTACAGAACAGCTATCTCCGCAGTGGAGGTAATGAGACTTTTTTTTTTTCTCTCCAGATGTGTCTTTTCAATTAGCTAAAAGAGGTGTGTGTTATCGCTTTTCTTTTCCACTTTAAGTGACTGTGTACCCACTTCCTCCGCTCCTTCTTCCGCCCTGTGGAGACATTATTCCAAACTGCCTCCGCCGCCTTTCTCAACATTAAAACCTTTTCCTATTGGCAAGTGGCTAATAGGAACCGTATGAACCGGTCCCCGGAGCTGCCGGTGAATTATTCATGACCGCGACGCGCGCGTTTCCACTCGGCTTAATTACAGAAGCGATCGGTGTCCCCATAAATACCGGGGACATTCTAAGCTGAACCCCTCCCAATTTTTTATTTATTTATTTTAACGTTTTCTTCTTTCACCCTGAAGCCACCTGGCCTGGACGCTTTGCATTAATGTAAGCGGTAAATTGATCAGCTGAAGCTTAAAAATAAATAAATAAAATAAAATTTCTCCTCCAGGGACCGGTAGCAGCCAGACATAAAATCATGATTGATGTCACAGGGAGTGAAATCTATCACCCCGGCAACAGATGAAAATGCAAATGAACGCGTGGCGATGTGTGAATTTCAATGTACGCTAACTTTTGTACTGACGTTTCTCATCAGTCATCGCAGGAACTGTGACAGCTTGTTTGTGCTGCGTGTGCAGTCACTTTGCGTTAGAAGCACAAACAAAATGTCAGTAGATTTTGTTGGGATTTAGGGGATGAAGTAGGCTACGCAGGGCCAGATTTAGAAGGATGGGGGGCCCCTGGGCAAGAGAGAGTTTTGGTGCCTTTTCCTAAAAAATAAGTAATAAAAAAACCCAACCACTTTACTCAAGAAAATTACAGTGCATTAGATCAACATTTATCATTAAACTTTTTACACTTTTACTTTCCTATTAGTTTATCCAGAGAAACTCCTACTAGTTTACAAATTGTGGAGTACTTTTTGATTTTCTTTTGTAATTTTGGTTGTGTTTCCTCTAACTCACGTGAAGCACTTTGAATTGCCGTGTTGCTGAAAAAGTGCTATATAAATAAAAATACCTTACCTTACCATTAAAAGGCAGGCCTTCACATCAGCAAGTTTAAAATGTCCCATGTGAACTGGCTCCATGTTGGTCCCAAAAAAATGTTTTATAAGTTCAAAATCTAACCTACCCTAACCCTAACCCCCAACCCCCCCAAAAAATAAATATATATATAACAATATAAAAACTAAACAGTTCATGTAGGCCTATGGGTATATTGGGTACAAGGTAAATTGTTCATTCATTACAAAACTTTTTGAATTTTTGGGCACCCCCAAAACTTGGTGCCCTGGGCTACCGCCCCGGTAACCCCTTTCTAAAGTCAAGGCGAAATATATACTTGTAACTCTGACTGAATTGATGGACGGATGTTGCAGAAAAAAGGTGCAATAAGCAGAAAATAATTTTTAAAAAGAAGAAAAACTCAGCTGCTCCTCCTGTTGCTTCAAAACCCCAAACCTTAAAGGATCCCAGCTCCGTCTTGCCCTCCAACCCCATTCGCCGCAGAGGCCCTATCCTCCCATCTGCCGACCTGCCGGCCCTGGCGCCGCGCTCGTCGCGGAGCAGGAAGTAGCCGTGAGCGGCGCGGGAATGAAGAGAGCCTCCACTTTCCGATGACCTGCTTTTCGGGGACGGAGCTCTGCGGGCTTCAGAAACAGACGCCATGGAAAAACGCCTCCAGACAACCGAGCGCTTCTCGTGTTCATCTGCTCCGTCGCCGAATGACTGTTAACCAGGCGGAGCAGGAGCTAACCCCCATGTTTGTGTTGCAAGGATGGAGAAAGGAAAGCTACTTTTTTTTTTTTAGGTCAGCTTGGAAGGGCAGGAAGTGAGGGAACCTGCCTGATCCATGATAAAAAAACCAGCAGAGTGTGAACTGAGCGCTGTGGACAGACTGAGTGTGATTAGTGAGATCTTGAAGTGAGAGAAGCAGCAGATGGATCCGGGCTGGCAGGAGAAGAAGAGTCTGCTTTTTGTTTTTTGTTTTTTCCAGTTTGAATTAAATAAAAGTCTAGCCTATACTCTGAAGAAATATTGGGATTTCTTTAGGGGAAGCGTCTCATAGCGCAGATTGAATATTAATGAAGATGGAGCCGGGAGCACGAGGAAGAACTAGGAATCTTCCCAGCGGGCCGTATAAATCTCATTATTCTTGGTTTATCTAATCTGTGCACAAATTCAAGCTGAAAAGAAAAAAAAAAACAACTTCTGGCAAAACAGAAACACTGCAAAAATAAGTTCTGCTTTCTATTCTCGAGTTTTCCTACCGATTTCTTTAAGCTGATAAATGTCTTCGGAAGTTGTAGCCGCATTTCTGTACTAACGATTGGGATTACGCTGAGAATACGCAGCTATGAAGCAGAAGCAAAGAGAGACGTGGTCTTCCAAAGCACGAAGTAGGAAATGCCAAGGGATAAACACCAAATAGATCTGGACTTTATGGAAAAGCGGCAAGAAGAAAAAAACCAAAAAACAAAACTATACTTTCATTCCATTCTGATTGGGATCAAATTTTTCTTCAAAGAAGAAATGACTGTAAACTTGACTGTTGCAACGGAAGTGTGTAAAACTGGGAGTAGTCGAACTTTAAGCTTTCATTAATATCTTCAAAGCCAAAGCAGCACAAACAAAACATTTTGCCACACAAACGTATCCGAGTTGATTGACGCCAGTTTTGTCTGACTTGAAGGAGGTGTGGAGGGCTGGCTGACCTTTCATAACCTCTGGAAACAACAATTTGAACAATTTCAACCTAAACCTAAATCAGTGGCTTTCTAAATGTAGATTGTTTCTCTGTGTGGCGTAAAAAAAACAAACAATCCCAGGTTAATTTTGCCCAAAAATCCTGGTGTTGGTGTTTAGGTTCACATAACCCAAGACATTTTTTTTAGTCATAAACTTGTCTATCTGTAGACTTTTCTATACGCTGTGACATCTAATAGTTAAATCACTACATGGGGGGGGAGGAAGATGCTTTTTCCAGTAATGAAAATCTCTAGAGACTCTAAAATATGAGTCCCTGGTTAACAGAGGAAGCCCTGAACAAAGTTAAAAACTTTACGTCCAGATCTTTGCTCAGCTGTTGCCAGCTCGGACCATCCCCAGTTGCGTGGACTCATGTTGGCGACAGCTGTCACTTTTTTTTTTTTTTTTTTTTTCTTTCCCAAACTCTGGAGTTCAAAGGTCAGCTGTCGGCCCCGGCAGGCCAACTCCCATTTGGTCGACTAACGTCGGATTCCAGAGGCCCGGCTGTCACCAAGCAGCGTGTATCGGATTGTTTTCACAGCGTTTTCCACCAGATCAGCTAGAAGCTGGTTTTTATTGCGCTCTTCCGCAGCCGAGATGATTTTTCTTCCTTTTCGTCGGGAAACGCCCCCCTTCCCCACAAAAAAAAAAAACCTCACTGCCAGAAGACAACATGCGCCCACCAACCCGACGAGGTTCCCAGAGGGTCAGAGGGTCGGGCCCCGTCCTCGCTCTCCCTCTCTCACCTCCATGTTCACACGGCCTCGCTCTACATACATGTGAACAAGTCATCTCTTCTTCCCTGCTATCCAAACAGAAGTCCTTCTGTGTCATCGCACACATCCACAACAGTGGCATTTCCTGTCATGTGTGCTGAGCTCAGCTCTCAACAGGAGCCCAGCAGCTGTAATCCAATAATAACGATGCAAAGTTCCCTCATGCCGTTCTAGATGTTTTTATCTCGTCACATCTCGACCGTACAGCTCGAAGACGGATTAGTTTTTAATTTTATGACCTAACCTGGACTCTCTGTAGCGCTTTGTTTTGAAGGGCTGTGCATAATACTGACATGACAGTCATAAACATGACATAACTTCTGCTCTGAACGTGAAGGAGTCTTCGCGAATGCTTACATGACGTGTCCTTCGGTAAATAATGACACTTTCAATGCAAAGTTGCTCTAAATGTTTCATTAAAAGTCTGATAAAAGTGTCAACTTTGCATTAAAAGTATCATTATTTACCGAATGACACGTCATGACGTAAACATTCATATAGACGCCTTCGTGTTTATGACATGTCTGTCTTATGCACGCCCCTTCAAATAAAGTGCTGACTAATTTTGAAAATCTTAGTTATTTCAGGTCATTGTAGATGTTGTCTTACTGATGTCTGGTTTGTTGTTGAACACAGTAAGAACGTCCTCAGGACTTTAGAGACAATGGACTTTCTTTTGTGTGTGTGTCTTCTATGTTAGTCCAAGCTCCTGAAATGTGTTTGTCCTCCACAGGGTCAGCTGTCCCAAGCCTTAAACGGTCTGTCAGACAGAGCCACCGAAGCAAAAGAGTTCCTGGTTCAGCTGAGGAACATGGTGCAGCACATCCAGGTACTCGCCCAAACTTACCCAAACCACAAAAAGACGCTTATGGTTTTCTTTAAGGCAACCTCGAAAAATCGACTTGATCTTGCGGTGCTGTTTTCTTACCAAGCCCATATGTTAAAATTTTTAACTTATGACATGCTGCTTAATTAAAAAAAAAAATAAAAAAAATAACCTCTAAAGCCATAAACTGAAGGTCTCTGCTGGATCTGTGTTTATGCTGATGACGCTGTGGTGTATGCTGGATTAGGAAACTCGTGTGACGACAAAGCCAGACGACGCTGTGGTCAGCCTAACTGGCTGATTAGAGGAGGAATGTGGGATTAAAGGCCTCCATTGATAATCATCCCACAGACTTAGACCAGAGAGAGAGAGAGTGTGTGTGTGTGCGTGTGTGTGTAGGAGTGGAGAAGCAAATAATACAGACGTGTGAAAATGGACAGCAAAATGTTTCAAGGTCTAAAAATATTATTCTGATTCAGACTGTGTAGTTAATAATAATTGTTATATTTATATTATGATATGATAGTTTCACATTTTTATTTTTGAATTAAAAAAATAAATATTCAAGAGAGTTATTAGGGCTGTAAAATTCTGGGATTTTTTTTTTTTTTTTTTTTTAGGAATTCATAAAATATTCTGTGAAGAAACGACAATAAAAACGGAATTTATTTAAAATGTTTAAAGCTGGGCCATGACGGGATATATTAATCGATTAATCTGACATTATTCATAAAGCATTTTTCATTCAATGAAATGTAACACAATGTGTTGTATTTGACAATTGCATCAAAAATTCCAGAGGTAAGTAAAACAAACAAAAAAACAAAAAAAAAATATTAGAAAGCTAGAACAAGACGAGAAAGAAAGTGTTGAACTCAGGAAGTGAATTTGTTAAAAAAGGAAAAACCAGAGAATGAAATAAAAACATTCAAACTCTGGAATGCTAAAAACATCTTTAATATTTAGCCATAATACAGAAAAACGGAGATAACGGGTGCAATTGTATTTAATTTATTTATCTTCCCAGTGCTAAAAACAAGATAAAAGAAAAACAACATTAAAGCCATTTGGATCATAAAAGAGAAAGAACAGCAGAGAACAAACAAAAAATAAAATCCCTTAGAATTTGATGAACAGAAAAAAAACATGATGAAATATTTGAGCTTCAAGTAAAAGTCAAGTTAAACAAGTTTTTAATTTGCTATAAATAAATAAAAAATCACAGATTCTAGGAGACCTCATGTCTGTGGGGGGTTTTTTTGGGTTTTTTTTTTTTGCCCCTCAGGAAAACGGCGTGGAATTTGAGGCCTGTTTGGTGGCGCAGTGCGACGCGCTGATCGACGCCTTGAACCGCCGCAAAGCCCAGCTCCTGGCCCAAGTCAACAAGGAGCACGAACACAAGCTCAAGGTGGGTAAAAGTGACAAAAAACATTTGACGTCATGAGCGTTAAAACAGGGCGAAACGACGTCCGTCTGCTTCCCCCCGTCACGGCGTTCTGTTTCGAACAAAAAAGAGACAGAACGGTGACGCTCTCTGCAAATCAGGTCTCAAATTGGAATGGAAAACAGAGACCGGTGCCTCTCTAACATCTGAGAAAATCGAATTGAGCTGCCATAAACTGAAGCTGCCATTTGCCCCGAGGGGAACAAATCTGTCCTTGTTGATGGCAACGTAAAATGTTTTCATCTGCAGCTCAGTTGCTTAGGAAAATCCTTCTTTTTGGGAGGTCTTTTTTGAGGTTACACGTTTCATCCATTGAATGTTTTAATTGTCGTATGAACTGAATGAGGATTCGTGAAATCGCAGTTTGTGTGTCTGTGTTCTTTTTTTAAAATACATTCATAGCTTCGTTTTCCTTTAAAAAGCACCTCCGGCAAGTTGAACACGAGATATGAGTGAGAGGAGAGAAAAGGAGAGAGAGACACATTTGTTTTGCAACAGCGTCCAATTTCATGCTTGAGCGCTGTGCAGAATCGAAGCTTCACACGTGTAGGTGGAGTGAAGAACACGGCCTGCGCACGGCGGCATGTGAGCGGAAACACGCGTTCCAGCCGCTCTGGTTTTTACACGGCGGTCAACGGCGGCTGCGTCTTCGCACTTAAGGCGTTTTCTACCATCATTTGTTAATTTTTACACATCATAGAGTTGTATTTTATTGGGATTTTATCTATTTTGGATCTGCGCTTTAGTTGGTATTCAGCTGCCCTGATTCACTTTGTTTATGAAACAAGTTTAGTTGCAATTACAGCTGACATTTGAGATTATGTTTCTAGTGGTTTTCCCACTTAAAGACTGACTTCTGGTGCTCTTTCTTTGTTGCAAAAAAGCTCAAGCTTCATCAAACTGAATTAACCCTTTAAGGCTTTCACAGGCCAGCTGGATTTAAACTGAGGTTAAATTACACATTGGCGCACTTTATCCACTAAGGTGATTTCTGAAGGCAGTCACCTGCACTTGATATTATATACGAGTATGAAAGGAAAGTGAGCTGAATATAAAATTTGCACACCATACTTTTCAGGGTTTTTTTTTTTTAAATATGTTGAAAATCATGCATCATTTTCTTCCACTTCACAATGTTTTAAAGTTACTATTTTTCTTTTTGTGTTTAAATATTTTCCAACTTACCTAATCTGACAGTTTTTTTTTCTTCAGGCATTCAAAACCTTAAAATAAGAGAAAGAAGATGCTTTTTTTTTGTTGAGCTACAGATGAAACAACTCCGTTCACATTTAAAATATAACACGTCGTCACGATGGATGAATTTCTGATGATTTTTTTTAGGTTGGCGGAGAACACACTTCACACCTTCAGCCCGTGACGTGTTCCCATGCACCTGTCAGCTCGCTGCTAACTCAATCCTGCTACGCAGCCGCCGTGCTGCCGCTTTAAGGAAGTTTCCCACTCAGTTTGCTGATGCAACTCAGCAGCGCTGCTGTGCTTCTCAGGACTTCTTCCGTTAAGACGTCAGTCAGGATGGAGACAGTTTTGTGGAATCCCCAACAGGAGTTTGTACGCATGCGCAGTCGCTCTGCAGCTTTTAACAGCAGCACCCAGCAGACGCCTCCATTAATTGAGTTACTCTTAAACAGCATGATGCAGTTTAGCGTCAGAAAGTCAGACAGAGACCTGAAATCTGTCCGCAGATGATGAGGCGTGTGTGGCGCGGCCTCCTGCTGCTCTCCTCCAGTTCAAAATGCTGAAGCCTGGCTGTCGCCATGGTGACCTTCTTTGCTTGCTGTTGCGGAGCTATGGAGACAAAAGGCAGTCCTTCGTCGCATGAGTCAGATTAATATTTTTTTTTTATCTCCCGGAACATCAGCAAGTCCGACCTATGTTGAAGGAGACGGCAGAGGCGGAGGTTTGTCACATGGAAAGGTGTTACAGAAGCTCCTCTAGAGCTAATGCCCACACACACACACACACACACACACACACACACACACACACACACACACACACACACACACACACTCTTAGGTGTGTGATGCTGCCCTCCTGCCCGGATTTGCCTGGAAATGAAAATGCAAAACTGAAGCAGCACAGGAAACGTCTATTTATCAAACGCAGCCCATATAAAAGCATCCACAGAAACGTTTGTACAACTACAAATCAGGATTTATTGCCAATGTTGTCGAACTCATTTTCATTTTGGGCCAAATGAGAGCACAAGACAAGAGCAGAAGACGTCTTACGTTTTTGGAACAATGACAGGAAATGAAATGTTTCCCTCGTCCTCGTTGCACGGTCAGCCATCTTGGATGGATCGTTTCTGCGAAAAGATCAATTTTCAAGTCTTGTCACCGCTGGATTTAGGTCTGCACTTTGACTTTCTGTCTAATTCTGGTAGCTACGCAAACGACGGATCTGTTGTCGCCGAACACAACTTTCCAGCGTGAGCTGCTTGACACAGTTTGCCCACATTTAAATGAGGCTTTCAGAGGAAAGTGCGTCCACATTTATTTATATATATTCATGCAAATAAAAGCCGGAGCAAATAGCGATGAGTTCTCAAAGAGCAGAGCTGCATCTAAACACCCTGTGGAAAAAACGCTGAAGGTAATTTTAATAAAAGCCAAAAAAGTTTGACTCCTAGGGTTTTTTTAAAAAAAAAAAAAAAAAAAAAATCCACGCAAGTTCCTAAAGGACTGAGTAGCGCATTCCATGTTTTGGACCTTAGGAGGCCTTCACTTTTAAATATTTTAGACTCCCCCCTTTGTCCCCGTTTTCTAAGGACATAAAATACCTCTCAAAAATGTTTTTGCACCTATTTTGTTCACATTTTGAGAAAAAGAAAATCACGTAATAGGCCAAAACATTATGCTTTTTTTTACTACCGATGTAAATCTGAAAAGTGTGGTGTGCACTTGTAGTCAGCCCTCTTTACGCGACTATCCCTAAATAAGATGCGGGGTAGCCAGGCAGCTTTAAAAATCATGCAATTTGCAAATAGTCCCGCTTTGTGATTTAATCTCATCATAAATCAGGCTCTTACTTGAAGGCCTTTAAAGGAACTTTGCGTTATTGTGCCATTATTGATAAATGTACTTGAAAATGGTCTCAAAACGTCAGTAATATAATTGACCGCAATAATCACTGGGATAATTCGTTATTGCGACAGCCAAGCGTGTATCTGAACAGCCATGCACGTTTTGTCCTGATCTGTGGCAAATCGCAGTAAAACACGTAGAAATCTGTTGTTCTAATATGACAAAATGTAAGTGCAAAGAGTTTGACACAATTATGAAACTATTTTACATGGTAGAAAATCTTTTTGGCTTCTCAAACCAGTAGTCGGTGAGATGTAGAAAATGAACATCTCCTCTGTCCTCGGAAATCACATGACAAACTGAGAGGTGTGGCAGGAAACCATCTTAAACCTGCCTCTCTTGTTCGCCTCGGCTCCTTCATTGCAAACTTGCCCTCCATCTGATAATGTCACAGCAGTCATCGGTAATGTTTCCTCGCTGACATCTGAGCGACGGGCGACGCGAAGCCGGACACATCCTGTCGCAGTCACCATCGCGTCAGCCGTCCGTGCTTCCGGTTTGGCGTTTCCGTCTTCTTCTGTCTCGCATGTGTTCCTTTTTCTGCACTTTAATCGTTTACATGCTCTTTCCAAACAAAACAGTCCAAAAAGTCAAACTGTAACAAATGTGATGCTGCATGTGGCCGTGACTGTGCAGTGCAGCCGCTGTCCTTCGGGTAAAGATGACTTGTTGGAACTGCAGCCGCAGTGTTTTTTTTTTTGGTTTTTTTTTGCGAGGCCAAATGTGCCGCAGTGGCCCAATAATTAAAGCGGGCATAAATAGGAGGCTGGAAGAGATGGAGAGATACAGAGAGAAAAGATGGCTCATTATTTTAGCTGCTACTGAATCTCGCACGCAGCACAAGAACATGAGACCCACATGAGAGTGGCGCGCAGTTAGCAGCTGCTGATGGGGGAAAAACCAGGGAGCAGAGAGTTGGTGGAGAATTGGGTTTGGGGCTCCTGTTCGCCCCCAAAATGATGACAGATGCAGAAATCAGGCAACGGAAATTGCCAATAACGCGCCACTATTGTGTTTCCGGGACCCCGTGCCGAGTTTGTGGCCCACTTAACGCACCAGATTCACCAAACTCGTCGAGGATTTCAAATCTTGTCCACCGGGTGTCACGCTGCATGACTGCTGCGTCCTCTGCACTCCTGCGCAAATTCAGATAAATGAATCTTTCCCATCTGTCATCTGGCGGAGCGCTTGGCAGATGAATGCCGATGATAGCTGAGATGAGCATTTCAGTGAGCAGTAATTGATACCGCACTCCACTTTTTTCTATCGTGAGTCAGTTTGACTTGACGGCATCAAAATAAATAAATAAATAAATAAAATAAAATAAAATAAAAAATTCTGTCGTTTTCTATTTTTACCGGACATTTTTTACGGTGATATTAATGACACGGGCTGTTCAGATGCGTCTAATTTTCATTCGATTTAATTAACATTCAACAAGTTGAACAGATAATCCAGATTCCTTCACACATAAATCACACCTAAAGTTTTCTCTGCAGAGATGAAAACAAAACAAACAAAAAAAAAACTTTGACCTACATGTGAACAGTGAAATTAAGTGAATGAACCTGACACATTTCAATTGAGATTTTATACTTTTGCTTTTGTTTAGATCATAATTTTAGTAAGCAGTAACGTCTCCCGTCCCGTTCTTAACTTATGATTAATATCTTCCGGCTCCATTCCGTCGCTTGTTGTCGCCGCAGGGTGAGTCGAGCGTAAATCATCTGGGATGTGTGACTGACGGAAGCGGAGCGGATTTAGTCGTTTAATTAACTCCTACACCGTTATTTCTCTTTTTTCCCCTCTCTTTCCTCAAGAAGGTAAATGGCTTCAAAAACATTTTTTTTTTTTACT